GTCTTATGAAAGCATGTCTGAGTGTGTGTTACACTGATGTCGCCCTCCCTCACAGGAGCCACGGTGTCTCTGTCTTATCACCACGCAACACACACACACCAGAACACTGGCCGAACAACAAATTCCACCGCCTCTGTCACTCCATCCACGTCACCCGCGGCTGTCGCTGCTCCTATTCAACACTAAAGAGGGAGAGAGAAAGAAAACTGGAGAGACAGAAAGAGGTAGAGCTCTGGGCAGACAGGCAGTCTGGCCCTTCATGCTTCCTTTGTTTGTTTGTGTGTGTGTGTGTGTGTGTGTGTGTGTGTGTGTGTGGTGGAATAAGGGCCGTCTGTACCAGGGCCGAGGGTACGGAACATCCCTCAAGCACAAAGCTGCTCTCTTGGGACTCTGATTCTGATAAGTGTTGCCCACTGCATGCTTGAGTGTGTGTGTGTGTGTGTGTGTGTGTGTGTGTGTATGTGAGTCTAGATGTCTAGACGAGAATTTTTTAATCAAAGTCCTGGGGACGCAACACACACACACACACACACACAAAAAAGGAAAACATACAAATAGAAATGCACACACATGCCAATAAACCATTAGAGAAAACCTAGCAGAAATTAGAGATGCAATACTATGCATTCTTAAAATCAACAGTAGACTCAAGACAGTGGGTTTCATGAATAAACTAGCTCAATATATTTTATTGGGTGGCCGGAACATTACAAATAATGAATGCATTCGAAGACATGAAATATTATTTCCAAGCATACTGTCTCTGCGAGTATATGACACATGGCATGATTTCTGCAAATAATCCCACATATATTCAAATCAGTTGCCAGGTCACTGGAATTTCTCCCGGTGCTCCCAATCCGGGCCATTCGCATGCGCAAAATAGGCTATACTCTCAAAATATAATAACTTTAATCTCGTTATTGCTACAACTTAATTCTCGTAATTTTGCCTTTATTCTAAAAATATTTCGACGTTATTCTCGTTATTTTGACTTTATTCTCAAAATATTATGACTATTGCCGTAATGTTGTTATTATTTTTATTTACGTGGAACTAAAACGCCATCTTAGTAAACCACTTAGTCAAAAAGTATTTTTTTAAATATATGATTATATATAATTTTTATATAATTTACAAATATACATATATTTACAAATAGGTTGTATATATATATATATTAGTAAGTTATACATTTTTATATACATTTTTCTATGAAAGATATATATATTCTGAAGCATATATTCTGAAGTTAAAAAACTTAAATGAGATATTTGAAAAAGAACTGATCAAAATTAGAGAACACTTACCGATTCCTCCCAGTTATTGGTGTTAATCTGGCACCTGGTGCTAATTTCCTTAATTATATGACAAACCCTATTTAACTGGCATCTTAATTTACCAGTTTTCACTGACTTTGCAAGATGGTGAGCCGTTCTAAAGTGACTGAAACCCTCTGACAGCAGGTTGTCCAGATGAAGGCCAATAGCAGATAAAGCAAGAGAAGTTGGTCATTCTAAATCTGTGATTTCTAGAATATTGCAGCTTTACAATAACACTAATTCATTCAAGTCCCCCAAAAAGGCAGGTCGTCCAAGAAAAACAAATGCATAAGAGGACAGGATAATGCGGAGACTCTCGATGGGGAATCGGTTCAGCACTGCAGCTGGAATTGCTCGACAGTTCAGCAATGAACAGGTAAGGATCTGTTTAAGAGAAGTCGGACTGAAAGTGTACTCTGCAGTGACCAAACCTATCATCAGCAGAAAGAATCAAAAGGCTAGACGCTGAGGAGCATGTTGTGTGGAGAGAGGAGAACTGGTCCAGAGTTCACTTTAGTGATGAGAGCAAGTTTAATTTATTTGGGTCTGATGGGAAATATTTTGTTCGGCGTCAAACTGTTGAAAGACGGAACCTCGAGTGCGTAAAGAAGTCAGTGAAAGGTGGAGGAGGAAGTGTCATGGTTTGAGGGATGTTTTCTGTAGCAGGAGTTGGGTCTCCTAAGGCCAGGACACAACAAGCCGACGGTCAGTCATCGGCTAATGTCGGGCCATCGGTGAGCGTCTGTCAGGCTAGTTTGTTTGGTGTGTTCCACACATTGGCAGCAGTTGGCAGCAGATTCAACATGTGGAATCCACATCGGGGCAGTCGGCGAGAGTGAGAACTCTGATTGGATGTTCAGTTTAGTGAACGAGTCAGTGCCCAAGAATTAAAGTGAAAGCAATGAAAATGAGCAAGTAAATGAAGGCGGCACAGACAGAAAGCTGTTCTAATGTTACGTGATCTTACCCACCTTTATTCCGATATGCAAATATTTTCATAACATGAGCTGCTAAAAAAAAATGAAGTTATCAACATAACTAATATTCAAAATGGCAAGCAAGTGTTGCTTTCTTTAGGTTTCGTATATCTGCATATATCTCACATATCCTTGTTTTGTTTTCTCCTTTTGGATGACATAAGGGCCTTTCGCACCGCGGGAACCTTTTCAAAGTACCAGAACTAATTGTGGAACTACTCACTTTATGGTGTTTTCGCACTGCCGGAACTGGGTGCGATTTTAGTACCAGACTGCCTTTTTCGAGAACCAAATTAGCTCCTACTCCGGAGCAGGGTCTAACCAGCACAACTGGTACTAATCGTGACGCAAGTAGCCATTGATTGGCCAAACGCGTATGAAAACGCCCTCACCCCCCATGATTTAAAACGGCGTGTAAACAGTGTCAACTTATTTCACAAGTATGGAGAACAGCGATAGATGGACGGACGCTGAAGTGCAGGCACTTGTAGCAAATGTAGCACTGCCAGCTGTCGTTGGAGATTCTTAGTCCTCCTTTCCGTTCTTTCAATCGCTTTATGTAAAAGTTGACTTTCCATGTCCACTGTGAAACCCGCGAGACACAACAAAAACACAGCTCCGATCACAGCGTCCTCCATCCTCCTGTTGTTAATGTTGTTCTTCTTTGTTTCCGTTGTTGAACGCCGCGCACAAATGACGTCGCTGTCGACCGGCTTACGTCACTTCTTAGTACACACTCTCGGTGCGAATGCAACCCTTTAAATGGTACTGGAAAATAGTTCGCGCAAAATCGTCCCAGTACTTTAGAACTGTATATTTAGTTCTGGAACTAAAGCGGTGCGAAAGTCCCTATTTATACTATTGATAGTGCAGAATGCACATGTTAGTTTGTAACAGTTCTGGGCATATTTTATTGTGAAAACAGCTGCTTAAAATATCAAAACTAAACAAAAATAATCTCGATAAACTAGTCTGCCTCACTCAATTGCTACTGGAAAACAAATATGGTCTGTCTGCTTTCCAATGCCGATTTTTCTTCATCCACACCAAGTAAGTTTTATACCATTGTATTCTTTGTATACCATCGTTCAGCCCTACTTGTTGTTAACGTCTCAAACAAAAACATCTTGTTCCTCATAATGCTGTTCACACTGAGATGATCAGCTGATATCCATCAGCCCATCCATGAACGATCTCTATCGGCCCTCGTCCTCATTCATCTGCTCATTAACATGATGGATGCTGTCTGTGAGATCTGAAACACTGAACATGTGATAGAACACACAATTAAACGGTAGACGAACGGCACATACTGGCCACTTTTTCACTGATTTAAGGGGATCAGAGGGGATTGTGGGTAAGGATGGGAAGGTAACGAGACGCGTGGCGGAGATTTATTCCAGTCTTTTAGGCCGTATATCAAGAGACAGATCTGTGTGATTTCCTGTTCTTCTGCAGATGTCATTAGCGCGTGTGTTATAAAGCGTAATGAATGGCCCTGGAGGAGTCGTTTGTGATAATGAAGACGAGGCCTGACCCGCTCTCAAACATGATTGCTCACGTGTTCAGACACCCGCTACTCGCTCTCATTCCTGCTGCAGATCAGATTAGGCGCAGCTTCATTTCCCTACATGCCGGGTACAACTAATTCACTCACCAAATGTAAGTAGTGAAAGGTTAGCCAACAGAAATTCAGCTTGGGTTGTAAATAAATACATCGTAGACAAACAATAACATATACACACATTGTATACAATTGTTTGTGTGTATGTGTATATATATATGTGTGTGTGTGTGTGCCAGTGTAATATAATATACAACTGCTTGAAAATAATTTTATATCTATATATATATACACACACATATTGTATACAAATATATATTTGTTTTGCAGTATTTCATAAAAAACAGTAAAAATTATAAATATTGTATATATTAGTTTTTTGCAGTATTTAATTGAAAAAGTATATATATATATATATACACACACACACACTTATTATTTATATTATATAGTAATTATTTTTTCACTAGTTTTTTATCTAAAAACAACTATTTTATTGAAACATACTGTATATAAATAAGTTAATAAAAAATGTGTATATATAATAAAAATAATGTTCACACACAAATATATATTTGTTAATTTAATAATATTGTAATATATATATATATATACTAGATTTTCTATAAATATATAAAAAATATATAAAACATTTTTACAAGACTAAAAATGCAAATTCACTTTTTTCACTCGCTAAATTAATCTACTACTACTGTGAAGTTTTTTCATTTCAATAAAATATTGCAAAACACAAGGCTGTATAGAAATTTTTTATTTAGCTGATTATTTATTTATAAAACCATTATTAATCATTTTTACCATGGTAACACCTGATGTACGCGTGCACAGATGGCAGTTGTGTGATTCAGTCAGCTGGTGAATTATTAATCCAGTGTGTCTTAAAAGAATTAGTTTTCCTGTCTCTAGGAGGAAGTGAAATGTCACGATTCCATATTTAGACGCAGCTAGATATTTTGTTTTGAAAATGGAACAAATATCAGAGTGGAGAGGTCAGACGGGTGGAGAGGTGGAAAGCGGGTCGATGACGCCAGATAGACGGTGTTTGTCTGCTTAGAGTGTTTCTGTGAACTTGTGAATGTACGAAACATGCATCATCATAAATATCTGTGCGCTTACCTTCAGACGCTCTTTAGGGAGGGCCGCCGCACCTTTCTTGATGACCTCTTGAACTCTCTCCACTGACAGGTCACTTCCTGCCTGCTCCAGTCGCTGGCTGAAGAATCCAATCACCTGCCACACACACACACACACACACACACACGCACACGCAGTCAATGCCACAACGTCAGTGCAATGACAGGAATGCTGTAAAGACTGAAATTATGATGTTTGCACAGTGTGTGAGATACGTTATCCCACAATTCAATGTGTGTGACTTGACCTTCAGGCCTGAGAGTGATGAATGAATCAAAAGCAACATCAAATGACATGTTTTACCATCTCCTGCCTCATTTGAGCATCAAGTTAAGACATTTGTACACAAAAATGGATTAAAAATGCAAAATTACGGCATATCGAGTATATATTTAAAATTATGTTTAATTTTTAATTACCTAAGAATATACATTTTATATATATTATTTAGTTCTATATATAATTTAATAGATTTAATTATCAATTTATATTTATAAAATACATTTTTGATTAAATATAGATTTTTTTTATGTAACATTTAATTTAATATATAACATTTCATATTGTTATAAAAATATTAATATTGTTATCAAATTAGAAAATGTATTCATGTATAATTTTAATCACATTTAATCATTAAAACCTAAACTGCATTTTTATATACTGTTTTAATATATGAAATATATTATATATAATACAATTATAAATATATATATATATATATATATATATAATATTAATATATAGCAATACAAATATTGATTTATATATATATATATATATATATATAAAGCATGTATATAACATATATGTAACATTAATAATATATTTAATAAAATCAACTGTGAACTTGTATGCTTTGCATTCTTATTATGCAAAAATGACTGTATATATTTCCGACATGACAAATAATGAGTAATGTCAGTGTAATATACTACTGTTTGCAATACTGAATTTTGGAAATTTCACATTCTATATTTAGTATGCAGTATATAGCATATACTGTGCAGTATACTAGTATTCCATTCATTCATCCTCTCTGGGGTTTTGGATGAATTTTTAAAGTGATCTGGGGATGTATTTTATTCTGTGTTTAAGGTTGCAGTGAGTCAGTGTGTGTGTTTAAAGAGGGAATTTACTTCCTGACTTCTGTAGATTACCCAGAACCCCCCTGGGCTTCTACTGCACAATATGACTGCACCAGGTCCAGTGCAAATCTCTCTTCATCTACAGTATATGAATGTTTACACTGAGGGCTTTGTTTTGAATTACACAGATACAGGAAAAATACTTCTAAACAAAAGCGAAGGCTCTGTTCCAATATCTAGTGAGCTGCCTACCTAGGCAACATATTTAGGCATCATAAGCACAGTACTGTGGCGGTACAATGGTACAGTGATGGTAACAGATGGTAGTACCATGGTAGTTTTTTTTTAGCGTTTGTTGTGGTTTATAAAGTTACCTTGTTTTGAACAAATTCAAAAGGCAGCATTGCAGGTATACTTTGCAGATGACACAATCCCAGAAAGCAATATGACAGTTATATTTTATTCATAGATTAGAAAAGTATGGAGAGAGTTCCATCTAATTAATTTATTCATCTAACTATTTTTTGTGCTCATTAAAACATGGATTTTAGTTTTATATATAATATTTAATTGAATAAAATCATTTTAAATACATGTATATATAATTTTAATAGATTAAAATATTGGTTTGATATAATTCTATAATTTCTTTTTTTTTTTAGAATTTTAGTTTTATATTTTAAAATATCAATTATATATTTTAAATATATAAAAAAAATTATTTAAAATATATAATTGATATTTTAAAATACACTTTTTTTTTAATAGAATTCTGCCAGTTTAAATAATAAATATAATAATATATAAAATACATATTATATTTATTATTTAAACAGACAGAATATTTTATATATAACATTTATTTGTATATATAATTATATATATATATTTAATTAAACTTTTATATATATTTATAATCTATTCAATTAAAATATTGATTAAATATACAAATTTTTTGATAAAAAATATCATTTATATGTATATATAATAATATTTATATAAGAATTGTTACAATAGTTTTTCTCTAAAAATATTCCTTCTCTAAAAAATATATAAATATATTAAATAATATATATAATATTTTTTTAAATGCCTTAGCAACACGTCAATGTCAAACTCGTATGCTTTGCATATGTTTTCTTCATTATATTTGTGGCACATGTGAATAATAATAATAATAATAATAATAATAAGCAATTCAGTTGCTGCTCATGAAGTGTGTTTCAAATAAGTCACTTAAGATGTTCAGGTTCATTTAGGATGCAGCCTTAGAAGGCAGCTGTCACTGTGGACACTAGAGAGCTCACTAGGGTTTGTAACAGAGCTGGAACACAGAGTCGGCGTCTCACCGTGTCGAGGTTCTGCATGATATCCTGGAAGGACGGATGCGATCTGAACTGCTCGAAGAGTTCCCGCTTGTAGAGCAGTGCGTACAGCAGGTTTGGGTTGTGATGGAGCGAGTTACTCAAACAGGAGTTTATAATCTCCAGCATCATTCTGATCACCTCCTCAATGACGTTCAGATCCTGAGCCTGAGGGAAAAGACAGAAATGCAGTAAGTAAAGATGACACAAAAATACAACAAAACCGACCTAGTCGGTATTTTCTTGGGCATCACAGGTACATTCATACTGTAAATGCACTAAATCTTGGTGACCATATCATGAGTTTGATTAGGCTGGTTTTGGAAGCAGATAATATAATTTATCATCATAATCCGTTTTTCCTATTCATTATGCCTGATTTCAAAAGTACTAAATTTACCTATCGGTAAGCTCCTCCCCTCGAACGCAGATGAGCCAATGGCAGTCGAGTATCAGTTGCACAGGGAGCGGAACTCGGACATCTTTAGATTTCAGCGCCATAGAGAAACATTGGAAGATCCGAAGCTCGCATCGGTTTGATGGTGTTTATGCTACAAAAATGGAAAAACGATGTGCCTAGGGTACTTGTAACACTAATTCCAGTTATCCTGAGAGGATAGGCAATGTCATTTATTTTATTCCATTTCCTAAATCCAACCAAAACAGAGCAAAATGTCCCTAAGCATTCAACCCCAATCACAATGAAGACGAAAATTTTCATTTTCTGGTTGTCATACTCTCATTAAGTTACACTTTTCATCTGCTCAAGCAGAACGTTAATGTCATCTTGTGCTTCAGAAAAACTTTAGTGTTAAAGTTAGTGAGTCCATGCTAACGTACAAACCTAAATAGCGAACTGCTCTCACGTCATGTCTCGTGCAGTGAAAGTCAAAAACACATAAACGAAGGTCTATATTAGAGTGCCTCTATATTAACCTGGTTAAATGTAAATTAATTTAATCTTACTCTGCGGTATATGAACGGTGTTGATCCGGGATTTTGTCATTGCGATTGTGACGACCGTAACATAATTCTCCCGTTTGCATTGTGATCTGTATTTTTACATATTTATTTTAATATCTTTTATATATCCCTCCATGGCATATTTAAGTCCTACTTGAAGGTCCATCTGTGTCCCAAATTGATCAGAAACACCTCGGAAGAATGTTTTCACTGACAGCTGTCATTGTAAGACAGTGAGCAACTCCATTTGTTTGTCCGAGTGAGCAACAGTAACTAAGGGGGGCGGGGCTTACCGATAGGTCAATTGTAACCCTGGACCACAAAACCAGTCATAAGGATCAATTTTCTGAAATTGAGATTTATACATCATCTGAAAGCTGAATAAATAATATTTCCATTGATGTATGGTTTAACTATTTGAAAATCTGGAATCTGAGGGTGCAAAAAAATCTAAATACTGAGAAAATCTCCTTTAAAGTTGTCCAAATGAAGTTCTTAGCAATGCATATTACTAATCAATAATGAAGTTTTGATATATTTACGGTAGGAAATTTACAAAATATCTTCATGGAACATGATCTTTACTTAATATCCTAATGATTTGACTTTTGGACTTATACAATGTATTGTTGGCTATTGCTACAAACATACCCCAGCGACTTAAGACTGCTTTTGTGCTCCAGGGTCACATTTGTAATCAGTCTTCAGTCTACTGTTCATTGACGGTTTTTCGGGACAAGCTGCAATATTTGTTCAAATCACCACCATTCAAAGGTTTGGGGTCAGTAAGATTATTGATTGAAATAAACACTTTTATTCAGCAAGGATGCGTTAAACTGATCAAAGGTGTCAGGCAAGACATTTATAATGTTAAAAGATTTATATTTTTCATAAATGCTGTTCATTTAAACTTTCAATTCATCAAAAAATCCTGAAAATCTCCCCTACTTATACTCCAGACCGTGGCCCTACTCCAGTTCTCCCTACTCTCGTTGTCCTTGGATTCTCCACACAATCCAATTCGGCTACACGCTTCAGTTTTGTCTCAATCCCCCTGTTTTGATTTTACTGTGCTAAACAGCGCCTTAGAGGCTTCTGTTCTGCAGCAGGAGGTCTCCTCACTCCTCCTCTGGGTGCGACAGAGGAGGTCCCTCCTTCAGATGTGAAATCGCGGCTTCTTCAGTCGCTATTTCCTCATTCCGAAAAAGGACCGAGGTCTGCGACCAATTCTAGATCTGAGCCAGCTGAATTTCTCTCTTTACAAAGGGAAATTCAAAATGCTAACGCTGAAAGCTATTCTGGCTCAGGTTCGCGCTTCATATATTAAGGTTGTTCAGTGACACAGGAAGTTCCTCAGGTTTGCCTGAGGTTTGGAGGAAAGGCATACCATTACAGGGTTCTTCCCTTCGGTCTGGCTTTGGCGCCATGGACGTTCACGAAGTGCATGGATGCTGCTCTGGCCCTGTTGAGGCTCCAGGGCATCCGTGTGCTCAACTACCTAAGAGACGCTCTCTCGCTTGCGTATGAGGTGCAAGGTCACTCTTCACTGCTAGGTATTCGAGCTCATTCTACCAGGAGTGTTGCTTCCTCTCAAGCTCTTTTCAGAGGAGTTCCCCTGGAGGATATCTGTGTGGCGGCAGGATGGTCCTCCCCTCACACTTTTATCAGGTTTTATAGCTTGAATTTAGATGCGGCTCCTGGTTCCCAGATACTTTCTGCTTGAACAAAGCCTAGTCTAGCTTGGCGGGTGTGGTTTATCGTTCCCATTGCGTCATAGGTACGTAGCATTGAGCGAAACTATGAAAGGGAACGTCTCGGGTTACTCGCATAACCCATAACCAACACGGATTACGCAAGTAACCTAAGACGTTTTCAACACTGATAATAATCAGAAATGTTTCTTGAGCAGCAAATCAGCATATTAGAATGATTTCTGAAGATCATGTGACACTGAAGACTGGAGTAATGATGCTGAAAATTCAGCTTTGATCACAGAAATAAATTATATTTTACAATATAAAAGTTATTTTAAAATGGTAAAAATATTTCACAATATATCTGTTTTAACTGTATTTTTAATACATGCAAATAAATGCAGCCTTGGTGAGATTAAGAGATTTTGTTCAAAAGCATGAATAAATGTTGCCGAGCATAAACCACAAATACACCTTTGATGGCCAAATATGCTGTCTAGGAAGTGCCAATAGTGTAGAGTACAGCACACTGTGTGTGTGGGTTAAATGGGTTATTGTTTTCCTGTGCTCTGCTGCAGTCTGGGCCGTAACACTTTTTCTGGGTCACACACACATACACACACACACACACACACACATAAAACAGAGGCAACACAACTGCATCATCTCTGTCTTTATGCCTATTCATCTCTCTGTAGTTGCATCATATACATTTCAAGCACCATATTTAAGCATGATTGATGTCAGATCTGTATGGATGCATCGTGTGTGTGTGTGTGTGTGTGTGTGTGTGTGTGTGTGTGTGTGTTGTTATCAGCCTTTACTGACAGTCTGGTGTCGTTGTAAAACCACCAGCCTTTACATCAGCAGTTTGTTCAATGCAAACCAGAAAAATCACAGACACACAAATACTGGCTTTACCTGGGGTTAAAACAGGGCATATTGTGATTCTAAAGCATTATATCTTATAAAAAATAAAGGTATATTATATGTGATAAAAGAGAACAAGAACAATAGAAAGAAAACAAAAAAAGAAAACAAAAATAAAAATAAAAAGGAAATAGGATAAAAGAGATATAATACTAAGCAATTCATAGTCCTTGCTTCAAACAGTGTAACTCATTCTACATGAACCGGTATTATGTATTAACTCTGGCAGCTGTTATTTATAAGAAGAGAATATCTTTACAACTTATTTTATATGCATAAAGTGCTACTAAAAGATTCTTCTCTTCAGTGACGCAATGCATTTGACATTTAAATTCAAAAGCACATTTTTCATTAAAAAAGAGCATTGATTCAGTCGAGAAAGAAAGACTTCCATGTACTGCAGCATGTCACGTCTCTAAAGAGCCTTCAGTCTCTGACCTTTGACCTTCTCATTTCCTTTTCTCCCACTGTCTTTCTCTATAGAGTCTATGCCTGCAGCCATCGGCCTGCTCCTCATGTTATTCATCCGTTCCTTATTCTCAACACTGATGCCAGTTTCTGAGCCACAAATCTCTCTGGACAAAAGCAAGTCAATGGAACAGAATGTGCAATCCGGTTTCCATAGGAACGCGCACACACACGCACGCACACACACGCACGCATGCACACACACATGCATGCACACACAGAGAGAAACGCCACATCAAAAGCTCTTTGTGTGGAAGCTAACTGAAGTGATTTTAGGAGATGACAGATCAGGAAAGCTTGAAAAAGAGCCCGGGAATGTACAAAAACACTGAACTTTATGGATTTAGCTTCAATGACTGACAAACAACCGCAGCATCATTTAAAACACTGCAAAGGCCATTCAACTGAAAATGAAACAAAGTTAAAATGACATAGAATGAAAGGAAAAATAAAAAGAACAAGAAATGAAGAAAAGAAAAGAAAAGAAAAGAAAAAGAATAAAAAGTATAAAAGAAAAACTAAAGAAAAGCAAAAGAAACAAAAAAGTAAAGAAATGAAAAAAATAAAAAAATCAAATGAAAATAAAACAAAAATAAATAGAAAAGAAAAAAGAAAAGAAAAACAGAAGAAATGAAGAAAAGAAAAAATAGAGAGAAAAAAATTAAAAAGAACAATATAAGAAAGTAGAAAATGAATAAGTAAAAAATGAATAAGAAACAAAATACATAAAACTAAAATAAATGTAATTAAAAAATACAAGAAAAAAGAAAAGTAAATGGGTAAATAGAAAAGAATAAGAAAAGAAAAAGGGAAATGAAAAAGAAAGAGAGAAAGAAAAGAAAAAGAAACTCATCTTGCAGCATTTGTGCCCCAGATAAGAATGATTCGTCAAATCATGCGTCTTGAGGAGAGTGACTGAACTAAGTGATCAGACGGACTCATTCTGCATTAATCAAGTCAGTTTCCTCAGCAAACACTGAGATCTGAGAAATATCCACCAGTCAGATTTACATTGACAAAGACGCCACAAGTTAAAGACTAACACTCCAGAGTCAGAGACATACAGTACATGTGTAAAACACCTCAGATTGAATCAGTCTCACAGCGGCACCA